TATTATTACTATTAAGACACGTAAACATGATTACGTAAGCGCAATAACTGATACGAATTTAAAAAACAAATAAAACTGAAAATTTGTGAGATTTGTAATCGCTAAGACATCTTCAAATCTGGTGAGAATAATGCGGTGAAACAACAAATTATACTAATAAAAAGTTCACTTATATTTAGAAAAATAAATAATGAAAGAAGATTAGTTACATATTTATTTTCTGTAATCTATACATTCAGTAAGTACTAAGTACAGCTAATAATTGGTCGGTTTTATTGATTAATTTTTTTTGGATTTATTATTAGTTATAGTTGATGGGCAAACAACTATTTGGGAAATGTGTGTATTATTATACATAATATTAATGTTTGGCTCCTCGTCGGTAATCTTGTGTACCCATATTATGTATCATGAAAAGTAAAACCATGTATAATATTATTATATATATAGAAAGTGTTAATATTGTATCACGCAACAAGTGGGATTTTTAAATATACATATTATATTAAACTATAATACATACGTGTGTAATAGACAGTTATAGGTTTATCTATGTAATAGAACCACGACCTTTGCTCGGTAGCTGAACAATGATGAATGTATCGGATTCGAACTGATCAAAGTACATTTTTGTAATATTAATTAATAGTAGGATAAAAATTTAAAAATTTAAAAAATATCGAAAATTATTTTTGAGGACGAGCTGGCATTTTTAGTTTTGTAATAAATTAAATTTCGTGCAAATCCATATAATAATATTGTATTGTGGCAAATGCCAAATATTATTTTTTTTATTATAAAAAAAATTCCATGCTGTAATCGCTGTGCTGTAATCGCCGAGTACCTCAACGTGCGCTGTCTGCAGTCGAGTTGTCGGGAAATTGATCGTTCTCAAAAGCTCGAATTTCACGAATAACGACGTTTTATTGTTTAGAATAATACCCTACAATAATAATATAGTTATACAACAATATCGCTCCCGTTGTGTTCCCGTCGTACAAATTGAACCTCCTCCCGAGTCTGAACGCACGTTTTTCGATTTATTTTGTAAAAACGTGCCATTTATGCAATACTAGGAAATAAAATTATACACCATGTGTTAAAGCTTTTAAAATGGTTGAATCTTTTTTAATCAACAGTGGTTGAATGAATTTGTTGTTGTTATATATTACACAAGCTTTAAGGGGATATTGTAACCATAGTGAATAGGTCTATACTAATACGCATTATGAACACCTAAGCAATGTTTTTATGAAGCTGTTTCGTTATAATGATACCTATTTCTATCTTAATATGGGGTTTTTAGATCAATAAAACTTTACTAATATCAATTTATTAATTAATACATTTTTTAATTATCAATTGAGTTTTAGGATACTTATTACTATAAGTACCTCAAAAGATCAATTACAAAAAAAATACGGTTTAAACTTATGCACTTGACAACTGAAGTTGATTAAAAATTAAAAACTATAATGTAGATTGTTTATCGTTATTTCGTTTTTACGGATTTTAAGAACCACATTTGGATGTACATTTTATATTATGTAATTATCATAAGTATGAACCTAGGACTGGGGTGTCAAAACAGTATTTCAATTGTTGGTATTTTGGAGCAGTTAATTTTAATTTATAACCGTACATTAGAGTAAACAAAATATTAGTTCGGTAACTATAATAACATTTATCATAAATTATAATTATCGGGGAGCATATTCTAAATCTGATACTTTTTGTTGCGTATATTATTATTCGTTTGTGTACACATAGTTTGGAATTGTCCATCATAAACGTTACGTGCGCCATAGATACACACCGGGGTCATCGGGTCATTAATTTGTATATTGTTTTATAATAATCTGCCATGAGCCGTGTTTACATTAAAATCGACAGTTTTACTTTCACACTTAACATAACAACAGTTTTAAACTACGAATGATGACACTACTCAATTATTACATAGAACTTTAAACCCAACTTATAAAATGTTAACATTTTTATTTTGATAAATTACTGCTGTTTCGTGGCAACTTTGACAAGTCACTATAAACTGTAAAATAGGTGAGACGAGAAAAAAATTCTTCGGTACTGCAGGCGGGATGCGTTATTAAATACTTATTATGTGGAGTACCTTTATTATATCTATGTTTATTTTTGTTCCGGGAATTTCAATTTCTTCTGACTGAAAGAGTTCAAATTATGACAGAGCACATTTATACAACCATTTTCTTCCACGGGGCCTTGACACAATAATTAGGTAATATGATATAACAATTATTATTATTATTATTATTATTGCTACCTAACGTCTGCACGTACAAATGCCGCGGGTACGGGATGAAACGAGCGTCTATATCGCCGGAGTTCGTGTGGGGGTGGGTGGGCAAAAAAATAACTAGAATGTACTTTTATCTCACACTGACGCGAATCGACGTAAATGTTTTATTATATGATATAATCACGCTCTGTACAACGTGACGGACATCACATACAAACACTCACGCGTCATAAGAGAAATGAAAATAAATAATCGTATCCGTAAGTCATATCGTATCTCAGTTTTCCACGTGAGCAGACGTTTAATAAAGCGAGAACGTGTCTTCATATATGTCTTTATCATTGCTGCTGCCTGCTGGTATTATCACAGCTCATTTGCGTCCCGAATTGCATATTATTATTTTTTTTTAACGTTCCCCGTATCCTGCCTACCACTTGGATTCCGTGAATCAATTAATATAAAGATGATGATAGGGATACTGCATAGTTTACGGTTAGTTTTAATGTGGTTAGATAACCAAAAAAAGTTTAAATAGTTAAATATCTTCGTCCTTCGTAGTATAAATTAAATAGACGGTGCTCGGGAAAAATAGTATATATAAGTCAATTTCTCAATTTTTTTGTAGTTTTCTCTAAGTAATTTGGTAGGGTGTGACTTCCTGATTTTAAGACTCATTGTTGAGTATAATTTTCTGTATTTTACCTACTTATTATGCAAAACTGTATAGATTGTAGACTTATTTAAAATACATATTAAAAAAGTGTAATTTAAAATTTTTTTTTAATTTTAAAACTTATTAATTAGTCTGTTTAGTGTACAGTCAATATCTACTGCAGAAATGAAACATTTTATTCGTTTCTTGAAAAGTATAGACATTTTGAACGATTCAATTTATCCACACACTGTCCGAATAAATCGACTAAAAAAAAATTATCAAATGTCTTGATGTCAAATGCATATTATTTTCAAGAGATTAACATTTATTTTTATTTTTCACTAATATTTGATACATAGAATACAGTGGAAATTTAACAATGATAATTGACGTTGGTCTTAACGGGCAAAAATAATACGAAATAGTTACAGACTTACTTGTATAATGTATATATTTCTGGCTTACCCAGTACCCCCCTTCTTATAGACTTTCGGTGCAGTAGAGAAAAGATCGATAATCCCGATGGCACTGTATACCATTTGTACGTGGGCCCACATAAGTGATTCGACCGATAATTATAAACGTTGACCATTGTGTTACCTTTATAGATACATTTTAATATTGATAAATTGGTAAGATATTTTACTATTTGAAATTATTGTTTACTATTGAAAATAATTTTTTTTGGAAAACCGAACGGGGACCGATCGGCATCTGGGTCGTCTATAGTCGGTGTGTAGGTATGCTAGCTTATATATGTATCGGCGTATCGCTATAGCCTGTAATATGTTATGGCACCTATAAACTTGCAGGTTAATACCACATATGGTATCATGTATATATAATATCATAATATATATAACACAGATTATGAAAAATCTAGGATTTGTTTAGTTATTCCCTGGTATATACACGTATGGATGTAACCGACTAACGACTGTAGCGCTTGGCCGACACAGTCCTCATCAGGATAGGCTGGAACAGGATATATTTTTCTTTAGACATGGAGAAAGTTTTATGCAATACAACGTTTTTCAAAATATATACATTTCAGTATGTAGATATGTAGTAAATTACTACTAGTAATATATAGTATATATTATAGTATTTATTATACTTATGTTAAGGGCAATGTGGAAAACCATTACATCATTATTATCATTATATATCATTATTCTATATATTGTAAGTGAATTTTGTAAAATGCCCACCATTTTTAAACAATATGAATAATTATTTAAACATTTGTACATCTATATTGCCCGGGCGTTGTAATATAATGCTGGGGTACTTATAAAACGACAGATGTATCAAGGGAAATGTGAAATTTTGGAAAATTATTAGTAAATTATATCTTAGGTATTTGTGCTAATTGTTACTGTAACAACTTAAAAATCTCGAAACTACAATATGTTTGTGTTTAATTTCCTATTTTAGTAAATTACTTATTTTAGGAAATTGGTAGTGATAGGTAATAGCAGTGGTCGCCTATTTTTGATCTACTGTCAACTATCAATGCAAGAAAGATGGTGAACGCACTCGGTAATTAATTAATCAAAATATTTTCAAATTTCCATTAAATAAATTGTTAGTCCATTACTTTCGTTCTGGTTAAGTAAACTGTATACTTAGGAATATCTATAATCGTATACAACCAATAAAAAAGTTCACAGAGTAGGATGTTCAACAGCCTGCTCTAACTTTCAAGTGTGCACGTTTACTTCCTCGACTGAATTTACCTACTACAAAATTAGATATTATGTACATTATGAAGAATTGTATAACGTTTTACGTCAAAATGATATGGAAGTAATCCCAGTTACGATAAATTATAATAAAATATACCTAGCATTAAATTTTTTTTTTTAAATATTTAATTGCATATTATAGGTAGGTACTAATTAAAATCATCTATATTTATGTTTAAAACTCAAAATATGACTCCATACCTATATGTTACAGACTTACAGTGCCTGTTATATCTTGGCCATTGACCATTATGTTCAAAGCCTGATTTTCAACTTTTTCTCGTAGTTTATTATGTATTATTAGGTGTCGTCGTCATACCTTTCACATTCGGCGTCCGGGCTCAGTCTAGATGCTAGCCAAGGATCAATACCGCTCATCGATTTGTTTTGATTAAGTTTTTTCGCGAGAGCAGAGGAGTGAATTATAGCAGTACCTACACACACACATACACACGCGCACAATATATACACTGTAGAAACGTGTGCCGCACTCACGTTGCCGACATGACTATATTATTTAATATGCAAACGCCGGGCGACCGATGACTGATAATGTTATCACTGCTCAGACGTGTTTTTGGAGTGGGAAGAAACGCCGATCTATAAATTATAAAAATACATACACACGGCCGCGTGTCACTAATATATTATAGGCATGAAGATTAATTGATTATATTGGTTTCGGATATAGTTAAATGATAAGTTCATAGGTAATAAAATATGTTTTTTTAAATAATATTTAAACAATAAAATAGAAACATTAATTATGTTCAACTATGAAAGTATTCTGTAAATTAATATGTTTATAATTCTGACCCATATTCAATAAAATCAAACGAAATAATTTTGATTTAATTTCGATGAGGCTTTTTGATAGCTTTTAGCGTACCACTCGAAGAACTGTATGTTAAAACTTAAAGATTAGTTTTTTAAGCGTGGTCAAATTCAGGGAAATAGAATCCTTGTGTCTCCTCACTTTAACCCCTGGTTCTGGGAAGTACGGTCTATAAACATTTTAAGGCCCCACCTATGACGGTCAAGTACTTAGTCTCTTCTTCGTTAGCGGTAATATTATGATAATATGGGTCAAGTTAAATAAGTACATCTTTTTTACTTAAAATTATAGTTCAGTAAAAAGTTTTTTTAAATACTGTTTTCATTATTTATAAACTGAATAATAACTTTTTAGAAACCGGCAAATATGTTGCTGTTTAGAATAAAAAAGAATGAACAAATAAAATCACAAAAAAAAATCAAAGTGACTTTATTAAAGTCGCTTTGAAAAAACACTCGTCCAGTTTACGTTACATCACGGACAAAAGTACCTAGTCGAGTACATTACTTAACACGTCTCGAGGTTGAAAGTTGAGGGATAACGTTCAGTCTTCCAAAATCAACGGACTTTTCACCAGCTCGTGTTTTTTCGTCGGTTGAGAAAACGCAGCACGTTACACGCTGCAGTACACGTGCTCCGGGGAATGCATTGATCCTTTTGTTTCACGCAGCGATTTGATCATTGCAACGGCTGCCACTGCTACATTAGGTCGTGTCCAAATATATTCTTACTCGATTTGTTTTCTCTAATCTCCTCCACCGTCGTCACAAAGTGTGGAACCTGCAGCTAGACGTTTATAGGAGGTTAATATTTTGTCCTATAAATAATACCTAAGTCCACTCCCCATCCTACTGAGGTTTTCCAAGAAACCACATTCAACGTACCCTAATAAAATCTTGAACTTTAGTAATGGTCTGTCTCAACATTTACCGTTCAGTGATCTATCGTTTATAGTATGATGCTAGCACTAAGTTATGATTGTAAACGAAAATTTGAAGAGAATATTATGTTGGCGTTTTGTCATATTTATAGATGTTGGGTAACTTTTATTAAGTATTTTGAGTAACCATAATAATAGAACGTAAAAATTATTTAGCATCAAAAATAAATAGTTGATTTTAATTTATTATAATTATTTTTTAAAAATAGAACTTTAAGTGAGTTATATTTACTGTTTTAATTCTTTATATTGTTTTATTTTCATCAATTTCAATGAGAACAGTCATTTTCGTAATGATTTTTTTTAAGTGCATTGTGCACTTATGTCTTTGCTATAGTTTTCAATGTAGTCATGTTGTCGTAGATTGTACACAGTAGATAATATGTTGTTCATTTAAAATCTATCATTTATCTTTCGTTTTACATTCATAACTTCATTTTTATATTGCAGCAAGGCGTATATTATTTACATACCTAATTTTATTGTGATTCAAAAATACTATATAAGTGCCCTACTTTGTCTTCCCGTCACGTTTTGGTTAAACGAATCACGTAAACTAATAGTGAAAATCTAACATAAAGAGTTTTTTTTGTATTACAAAAATAAGCTGCACATATTAAAATAGAAGTAGAAGATTCGTTTCAGATGAGCGGTTCATTTTAATACCAGTTGGTTTTTTTAAAGTTTTTGATATTTTCTATCTTTTCAAGGCATTTTTTTCCTGGTTCTGTTTAACCCGTAATCATCATAAATTTCGCACACGGAACACCACCAATTTTGAAAAAGCCTCATTAAAACGTCCAATGATTAGTGATGAGTACATCAAGACCAAGACTATGGCAGTTTTCGTTTTGGTCTTGCAGAGCCATTATTGTCTTAGTGTTGTTCTTGCAGCAAGACTAAGACAATTTTTGTCATCACTAGTCACTATCAATGGTCAACAGATCCCGTCTTGCAATAGCCAATAGTATTACTTTAATTAATATTATAATATATTCTGAGCTTACATGCAAATATTATTTGATAGTTATTTACTAGCAATATTATTAACGAGTTGATGTTGAATTATGAAAAAAAATTAGCTTTGAATGTTCCCTTATTATTGTATTCATGTTCATATTTATAATACAACACTGAAATCAATAGCAATGTATAAAATACTTACGTTTTCATACCAAGGGCTAAATCTAAGCAATTAAAACGCATTATTCTTGTTTGGTTAAAAGAAAAATATTTTCTCATATAGGACATGTAATATAATATATGATGTATACAATAATATATTATATTATTTATGTTATAATATATTATATAAAGGAACTTTTGTACATTCCTTTTTCAGGTAACATAATAATAGTTATATGCAATTAATTTTAATAATTGTTATGTCAACGTTTACGCGGTAGACGGTTCACCGAGTATGTTCAATATTTTTTTTTAACAATGAATTTATTATAATTATGATTTTTGTAATCAGTTTTAAGTATAACAAAGTGGTATAAAAAGAGCAGTTCTCATTAAAAAAAAATATCGACACAAATACTCAAAAACTTCCTTGTATGGTATAAAATTCTATATTTGAAAATATAGTCCTTAAGTTTATTCTAAAGATCAGTTTGAATAAATGTATAGTTTGATTAAAAAAAAGGATGAGCAATTTTGGCGAATCACATTATACAGCATGTAGCTATAGGAGAGAATTTTGTTTTTTAGGGGGGAGGGTGGATTTTTTCCTATACCACTTGTCAGAACTCAGAATTAAAGATATTTTCAGAATATCTGAGATATAATGTGTAGACCGTACATTTTTGCACTTCAAAAAAATGTTTGATTAATTTAAATTTCTGACATGATGAACTCATGCACTTCACTAATTATAATAAGTTATTAAAATAGATAGGTACTAAAATTGAATTGTCCAGTCACCAAATTCTTCTCCTTGTTTTATTAATTAAAAATATATATTTATCACGTGGATTTATTATCAATTGCAATTAAATTTTCTAATCCTAAAGAAATAGCTCCCAGAGATAATGCAAAACATTTCTATTATTTAACTATATACTGTGTAGCAAAAGAAAATATATTTTCGATCAAAATTAGCTGAGTTAATCACTAAGAAACAACTGAACAGTTTTATTTATAAAAAGATAAGATGTTTTTGAAAATAGTGTATAATAATATTTTATTGTTTTGAATGTTTTGATAGGTATGTACTTATTGTACTTATTATTTTGTATACGTGTGCACAAAAACATCGACAGTTTTGGGACATTTTAATACTTAAAAATACCATAAATTTTAATAATTTAAATTTAAATGATTTGAGACGTGCGTCCTCAAGTAACATGAAAAAAAAAATTAATGAAAATTAAACATTGATCTTCATTTAACAAAATGCTGGGTGAAATCGAAAAAATATTTGAAAGTTTTGAAATGAAACTCTTTATATCATATTTTGTTACGTTTTTAATGGCTGACAGCATAGTTTTAAAAATAACAACTATATGACGTATATAGAATGAATAAAAATATTGTTCTAACAAAAACCCACCTTTAACCTTAAACTGCGTTATTATCTAGTTGATGAGATACTATATTAATAAAAAGTTGCCGAATTAATTTGAAATAAATCACAATTGATTATATTTTAAAATATTTCGTTCGTAGATATTTATTATTTTGATTGCAAATTATTTTTTATTGACTAAAAATGTAACCATTAACCCAATCGTTTGGAATTTTTTACTAATATTATTGATTCTTTTGCGTTTCAGAAAATATGAAAATAACTTTTTAAACTAATTCTTATTGAACTCATTTCGTTGAAGAAACACATTTTCTAAAAATTAAAATCTATTGTAACATTAACAATGTAAAAAATCCACTTTATGAATTCAGACAATTTTAATAATATGTATTGTATACATTACACGTCTCACCTTGGTTCAGTTTTTTTTTCTATGTTAACATATAGGGAATACGATTATGTCAAATTAAATGTTGCCGTTTAAATAATTAATCAATATTAATTACGAATTAGTATAGGTTGACATTACTATATATCATATACACATGTAGTTGTTATAAATTATAATAATTATTTTATAAATGTCTACAATGGGTACAACAACACTACAACGCGTATGGAAAGTAAGCTGAATATATTTTGCAACATATACCGTCATAAGTTATAACATATAATGTATATTAAGTGTACCCAATATACTATTTTTATTTATAATTTAAAAATAATCGCATTACCTATTTGATATTTTTATATTTATGGATTTTATCATACGTACTTTATTATTATAATACTTTGCATTTTATAACATTAAGTAATTATCCATATAACATATTATATTTTGTTATGAATTCTAAGTTCAGCAGTTCATTCTTGTCTTAAACGCCTATAGATAGAGATTGAAGTCACGTACTCAAAGTCTAACTAGTGTTTAAACAATCATTTTTTTTACTTTCCATTTTTCTAATATGTAAACACCGAGTATTTACACTATATTTTTCTCCGTTTTATCAATTCATAGAAAATTATTAACGTTTTTAGTAATTTGTATGAATTAATGAGATTAAAATATAAATAGTATGCCTGAGTCTTGTTGTCCTAACCGATACAATAGGTAATTTTTATAACAATTATGTTAAAATTAAAACAATAATTAGATCATCGTGATGTTACGAGCATACTAAATATTTGCAAAACAAGTTGT